CTGCCCCCTGACCCTACTACCCCTGCAAGCCCCCCCCCACCCCCACCCCCCACGGGCACCACCCCACAGCCCCCCACCCCCCACCCCCATACCCCACCCCACCCACCCCAACCACCCCACCCCCCCACCCCACCCCACCTTCCCCAACCCCGACACCCTGTGGCTGCTTTTCAGCGCCATTCTTGGGCTGCTTGTTCAGCGCCCGTTTTCTGGCTGCTTTTCAGCGCCATTCTTGGGCTGCTTGTTCAGCGCCCGTGTTGTGGCGTCTGGCTGCTTTGCAGCGCCAATTCGGGACTTTACGGAAGGGTGCGTCTGTTAAGTTCGGGGTTTGGGGGCACCTAAAACACACCCAAAACCAGTTAATTCGGGGTTTGGGGGCACCTAGAACACCCCCAAAACCAGCTCCAAAGATCTGCTGTCCAGTCCTCATGCAGCGGTTTCGGGTCGGGTTAGGGGCTTAGGGCTTAGGGTCTAGGGCATGGCTTGAAATTTAGGGATTAGGGTGAGGTTTTAGGTGGGGGTTTGGGGCTTAGGGCTGAGATTGTGGGTTGAGGCCTGGCTACCATTAAGCCCAAGGCTGTGGGTTTAAATTTAGGGTTTAGGGCTTAGGGGTGGGCTTTAAGGTGAGATTGTGGGGTTTAAAATACCGAAGAAGAGCCCTTGCAAACCAAACCCCTGAACCCAAACCCTAAACCTAAGAATCCTTTGGTTTTTAGCACCTAGAGGACCCAAAAAACCCTCGGACTCGGCTCTGCTTTAGGTTTTAAGGCTTGGGGTGGGGTTTAGGGTTCAGGCCAGGAGGTATAAGGGTGGGCTTTAAGGTGCTGCCAGGCCTAAGGCTCAGGGTTTAGGTTTTAAGGCTTAGGGTGGGTTTTAAGTTGAGCAAACCGATTTATTCAACCCCCCCCCAGCAGTACTTACTCTTGTTGTGTGTATGTATATATATATACATATATACATATTATGTGTGTGTGTATATATATATATATATATGATATGTGTGTGTGTAGTGCATGTACAGTTCACTGACCTGACAAGGGACCACGGCGGCCCAGGATGCTGAATGATTTTATGAACACACTTCAGGTCCTAGTTGTGTATGACATTTCTTTTTGGTTTTGATTTTCCTGGCACACCCTTTTCCTAGCATGTGGTCCACTGGCATTCCAACAAAATTGTAAAGTTGTTTTATGGATAGTTTTTGGAACACAAAGTGCTTTTCTATGCTTTTCCTTTGGAGCACCTGGTCAAATAAAATCTACCATTGTATGCAAACCAAAGGCATTCTTTTCTCAACTTGTCAGGAAATGCATACAAACTGCAGCAAAACACCAACCACCAGTTGCCCAAAAACAAACCACCACTTGCCAACAACAAGCCTTGAGGGGCGGGAGGACGCGGCGGTGCAATCGCCGGCTCCCCTATGCTGGTTGCCGGTATCGCCTGGGTCCTTTGCTGGTGCTCAGCCGCTCTGGCCTTGGATCTGGCTACACTGCCAGTGGACTTCGGGGGAAGTCCCAGCGCTGCACGCTCACGGTTGATTGCAGCTGCGTGTTCGCGTGCTGCTGCAGGCAGTTGTGTCGCCTTGGCCTTTCCTTTTCCTTTCCCTTTCACTTTCCCTTTTCCTGGCCCCTTGCTTTGACCTCCTTTGCCCATGGCGCGCGGTGCCGACTACGCTGACTGGGGCTTGAAGAACAACTTGACACTAGGGGAAGCTGAACCAGCTTTGGCTTTGGGCTTGGGTTTGGACTTAGGGCCCGGTTTGGGGGCCTGCGAACAGGTTGTCTGGGGGAGAAAGGTTGAGGCCATGCCTACTTCCGTGGTTTGAGGCTGAGAAACTCGAGCCACATCTGCGTCAACGCAATCAAGGGTTGCTTGGGGACTGGAGGGAGCAGATTTACCAGCAAACAGAAAAGCAAAACCCTGAGCTTGAGAAACTTTGGGTTCAAGTGCACTGCCCTTCCGACCCTCATTTTTCTTAGCACCTTTGCAAGCTTTGGTGAGGGCTCCTTTGGCTGTTGTGCGCACAGAGTAATGGGCATTACAGCAGGAGCAGCTCCACTGAGAGCCCAAATTGAGGATCTTGTGAGAGTGATGTATGCCAGTCGAAACAGACGGAATGGCTGGTCTGTGTTTGCAAGGATGATTTAGGACGAAATCAACTGTTTCCTCAGGGTCAACTTGCTGTGCATACAAACTGCACTCCTTACACTTGATGCAAAGGTTCTTAGCAGATGAGGTCACAGTCCACTGGTGACCTGTGTGTGGATGTGAACCTTGAGTTGCTCCAATCAGGAGCTGTCTCTTGTTAGGCCCTTTGGGCTTGACAACTCGGTTCTTAACGGGGGCCGACTCAAATTTGGTTTCTTTCTGTTTCGGCACTGCATCATGCGTCAAAATGAAAGAACACCGACGACTCAGCATCGAGATCATGCCCCTGGCTGCTTTGTCAATACAATCTGTCCTATGGGCTTGCGCGTGCGAGAACACCTCAGCACTTTTGCGACTACACGCAAGATCTGCTTCCAGATTAGTGGCCCAAGTCCACCAGCTCTGTGGGCCAAACTTTTGACAATGTTGGACTTGGTCGAGGTGCCCCTTGGTCCACTCAATTTGGACCAGCTCCCTTTTATCCCTCGGAGCAGTCCAAACATGAGGAAAACTTTCGTTGGCCTTTGCCGAGTGGCAGCGCTTGATAGCCACCTTACTGTCAGAAGAGGAGCGAACCGGGCCCCGGATCCACTCGGCAAGTTGATTGATCGCCATCTGTTCACCATCATTCACAGTGGACCCTATCTGGAGAGAACCTGTGATGGTTCCGATCAGATCATACTGTCCTGGCAAAGCAGGGTCTTCAGGGAACTTGGTGACTCTGATTGCCACCACAGCCCAGCTGATGACCCTAAGTCTTGGGTCATCACCTCGAGGGCCACCTGACGCGTCCGTCCCATAAAAGATAGAGGAATCGGGGAGATGCTCACCCTCGAAGAGACCTTGGAACCTGGTACTTAGCTGTTCAGGAGTCAGGGTTGGGTGGGCCGTGGCCTGCTTCGGCACTAGTCCCCTGACCCTAAAACACTCCGGTGGATTCGGGTAAAGTGCATCCCAGGCCGGGTCAGGGCCCAGGTCCTGAACCGCCCACCGAGGGCAATCATGGAGGACGTGTTGGAGTGTGTTTTCCGCTCCGCAGTGCGGGCATTGGAGGTCCCCTCCATGGTTGGCCCGCCGGATGGCCCCTTGACATAGCATGCGGATGCCCGAGGCTTCCAGAGGCCTTTTGCTTGCTTGCTTGACCAACCGCCTTGGCACCGTCCAGTCAATGCCTTCCGCGCACCCTTCGGCAGCCTCTTGGGCTGAGATGCGTTGCCACCTATCATTGAGTAGAGCTTCCTTTAACCGGTGAGCGACAAGCAGGCCTGCACCCGGCTCGCCCCAGGGGATTGTGATCGTGGCATCCTCCCGATGCCATTCATACATATCCGGCGCAGAGAAACCCATGTCCAACAGGTAGCACTGCATAGCCGCAATGGGCCCCGCAGCGAGGCCCCACCGGTTGATGCATTGCTTGAGGCGTGCCCACGAAGCAGCCCAAGTACGGCGGATGAGGCTAGCTGCAGGGAGATTCCTCACCACGCATTCCGCTAGCATAGTCCAATGTTCCAAAACAAGCTTGCACAGTGGGTCGCCGGAGCCTACCTCAGAAAAGTCGAACACAAGGTCCAGGGAACCAAAGGCAAACTTGCCAAAATGGCCCCCGTGCAACTGCCCGTGGCCAGACCTTGCCCTTGGTGGCCGAAGGTGGCTGCCGTAAAGACTCCAGTAGCGGCGACCTGGGCCCTTTTCTTCCTCACTGGCACTTTGAGCCTCCCAAGCTTGCGGCTTCTGCCAGCCGCTTTCTGAAGGCGCGCGTTGCTCGTAGCTACGCGTCTTCTTCTGGCCCCTGCCGAGTCAACACCCAGGTCCTTGACGAGACCCAGCACCGGCGGTTCGCCTGGCCTCAAAAGTTTCTGCAGCCTCTTTTGTGTTTCCTTGTCGGTGCACACAAAGGCTGATTTGGAAGAGCTCAGCACAAGCTGCTCCTGACCCAGGCTGGCTCTGAGCATTCTGAAAACCTTGACACTTTTGGCTGCTACTCGGTCCGGGTCCTTAGCAACCATATCAGCCGAGATGTCATCTATCCAAGTATCCAGGTTGGAAGCCAAACCTGACTTGGAAACTTCCTCACATGGAGAGTGCAAGGCAAGTTTGCTTAGGCTGGGTGCTATCGGACACCCCGCCACGACTCCTTTTACGGAGTACGTGGCGGGTGAGTGGCCAGAGTCTGCACAAATGACCCTTGCCCCACGATAGATCTGAATCGCAATGTTCAGAAGAGTGGCTGGGTACTCCAGCTCGTATGCAGACTGCTCCAATTTGTGGTGGGAAATGGTCTCATAGAAAGTGGTAAGATCCAGAAATTGTCAAACGGGACCGTTTTGCGTAAGCACTTTGTACAGTGTGCAGCGACACTGCTGCCCTTTTGGCCCAAAACCTGTAGGGCCCTTGAGTCTGGGCAACCGCCTGCCGAAAAGGTGTGTTGCGCCTGTTTTCTGATACTGGTAGCGGAGCGAGAGAAGATCGGGCCTCGGGTTCGACAGCTCCCTCCAGGTTCTCACCTGGAGTGCCTCGCCTTAGGGCCAACGGTGCTTACGCGCCTCGCCCTTCGGCCCGAGGTGCACCTCCCCTCCTGTGCCTCACCTTCGGGTCGAGGTGCACAACCTTCGGTGCCTCGCCTTCTGGCTGAGGTGCGCAATCTTCTGTGCCTCGCCATCCGGCTGAGGTGCCCCTTTCCGCAGCACCAGCCCGAAGCGGCATTGGTGCCTCTGAGAAGCGCCCGGCCACGATCGGCCCGGAGCGCAAGCACTGCGCGGAATCCCGCGAGTGCTGAGCTGAGGCCAATCGGCCCAGCGAGCCTGGTGAAGAAGGCGCCCCCGCGCGAAGCGGCGTGAGCGCAGAGAAGGATGCCTCCGCCACGTACTTGGCGAGACGGCAACCGGCACCCAGCCCGGGAAGCTCCTGCAAGCGAGACCTACAGCAGCAGCGAGGAGGAGGCGGAAGAAGCCGAAGAAGAAGCTCCCGAGGGCGACGCCACAGTGCGATTGGGAGCTCCCCCTCCGAGCGGTCGGGTGGCCAAGAAGAGCTCAGCGCCACCACCGCCTCCAGCTGCAGCTGCTAGCACGCTGCCTCCGACGGCGGTACCGGTAGCGGGTCTGGGAGCCCCGCCGGGACCACCACCGCTCCCGGCTTCTCCGGGCCAGCCGACGACCATCTACCCCGATGGGACGGCCCAGCAGGGACTGTACACTGCCACGGGACAGTTCATAGGATACTTTCGGGTGCCTGTCGGAGTGCCCATGGTGATTTTCCCGAGGGTTCCAGCAGAGGCCAACGGAGACGCTAGTGCAGCCGCCTCTCCAGGCCCAGCGGCTTCCACAGCCGCGGTGGAGCCTACGGCAGTGAAGGCTGAGCCTACGGAGAAGTCACGGCACCCCAAGGACAAAGGGGATGCCAAGAGGGCCAAGGAAGGCCGAGAGCGCCCCGAGAAGGAGAGCGCCAACAAGAAGGACAAGAGGGACCGGGACCCCAAGAAGGACAAGAAGGACCGGGACCCCAAGAAGGAGAAGAAGGACCGGGACAACCAGAAGGAGAAGAAGGAGACCCGGGTACCCGAGCCGAAGGCGTATCCCCTCAAGAAGGACAGAGGGTACGGCCGGGTGAAGGAAGAGCCCAAGGAGCCTCGCGAGCGCGGAAGCCCCTCCTTTGAGCGTGAGTTTCTGCCGCAGGCGAGGGCGAAGTCGGGTGCTTGGAAGCCGTATAACGATACCTGGTTCGATTATGACGGCAGAGACGAGCGCCTGTACCCAGAGGAGGCGAGGAGGCGACGTGGTGGACCTCCCGCTCCTCGCACCCCGCCTCGAGGCAGGACCCCAGGGCGTCGCCCCCCCTTCAACCCTTACGAGGGTGACGAGGAAGAAGAATCTGGTGCCTCAGGCAGCGCGGGCCCAGGGCCGGCTTTCGACTCCTCCCAGAGTCCGATGTCGGCACCGCCACGCGTCCCAGGACTGGGACCAGGGTCGTGGGCTTGGACCTGGCTACTGGTTCTTCGTGCCGGCTGAGGAGCCACCGGGACGACTCCCGGGACCGGCGCGGGGACTCCAGGCCCCGTACCCCGCCGAGGCGTCCCAAGGGCAAAGGCCACGGCAAGGGGAAGAAGGGCAAGCCCGCGCGCAAGGGCAAAGACAAGGACCGGAAGCGCGGTGCCAAGGACCCCCCGGCGCCGGCAAAGAAGAAGAACAGGCCGGGCAAGAAGCAGCGCGAGAGGCGCAAGTACGCGGTGAGGCGCGACCGAGGTTCGGACAGTCGCGCCAGCCCCGAGAAGAAGCGCCCGCGCAAGACGGCAAAGAGTGAGGAGAGCCCTCCACTGCCGCCTCCGGCGACTCCTCCGCCAAAGCCCTCTCCGACGTCCCCGGCGGACCGCCGTGACAGGATGCACGGTGACCCCTTCCCGTCGGACGACGAGGACGAGGGCGATGACGATGAGGGCGAAGGCCACTTTGCCGAAGAGGAGACGCTGACGGACGACCCAACGGTCACACCGCCGGACACACCGGCTCCGTCCGAAGCGCCAGCTCAGCGTGCAGAGCCGTTGCGTGCTGCCCAGGCAGCCCCGGCCAAGGCACCGAGCAGGCCGGCGAGCAATCGCTCGCACGGCAAAGCGAGCGCTGGCTCGCAGGGCATGCCACGCGATGGTGCGCCGGTCAAGGCGGGCGGACCTCCACTGCCCCCGCCGCTCAGTGACCGCATCATACTGCAGAAGCAGGGAGTCACGGATCGGGATCCACTCGAAGCTCTGGCCGGAGGCGATGAGCACCATTCGCGCCTGCTCGCTCGTAAGCCCAGAGCGCTCCAGCAGTCGGTGCCCTTTGGCTTCACCGGAGTACATCCCTTGGATGTTGACCCCGAGGTGACCGAGCTGCTTGTGGGTCTGGTCGAACCTGTGGACGTAGGCCCGCATGGACTCGCCGCCGTGCCTCCGGATGCTCTCCCACGGTAGTGGTGCTTGCGGTACACCAGGGCATCCGAGGCGGCGCTCTCCAAGCGCTTGAGCGCCGAGCTCGAGGAAATCTCCAAGGCCATGGAGGTCCTCACAGTGACGGCCCAGAAGCTGAAGTCCTTCACGCAAGGACGCCGGTGGACGGATGGGAAGGGCACTGGCTCGACCTCCTCCACTGGGCAGCCCAAGGGCAAAGGAGCCCATGGCAAGGGCTCGCCCAAGGGCAAAGACAAAGGCAAAGGCGGAAAGCCTAAGGGCAAAGGCGCCTCCCGTGTCCACGTGACGGAGCACGAGAGGGTGGCTACGAGGAGCCGCCGCCCGACGAGCAGGCCTACGACGACCAATACGACGAGTACTACGATGCTGCCGAGGGCCAAGCGGAGGAAGACGGACAGGGCCAGGAGACCCACGAGTCCTACTTTGTGTGGATGACCACCCTCGAGGAGTGGATCCCTCCGCAGGTCTCCCAGGTGCTGACCAACGCACCGGAGACGGCCGCCGGCCTCATGATCGTCGACACTGCCTGCCAGAAGACCTGCATCGGCAGGAAGGCCTACCTGGCCCACTGTGCGACCTTGCGCCCTTTTGGCCTGAGTTGCAAGTGGCTGCCAGAGTCCGAGCGCTTCAAGTTCGGCGCAGGCAAGCCGGCGATGAGCTCTGCCTCGCTGGCGATCCCCGCAGGCATTGACGGCAGGCCGATGGTCTTGGTGGCCTCCCTGCTTGCCGCGGAGATCCCGCTGCTGGCGTCCCTCAAGATGCTGAAGCAGCTTGGAGCGGTGCTCGACCTCCCTTCTGAGAAAGCCTTCCTCGGCTCTCTCCAGATCGAGGTCCCCCTCCACGTGACATTGGGCGGACACCTCGCCATCTGTGTCACGTCTTTTCCTGTCGACGGACTTCCGTGCGACCTGGACGAAACAAGGCCATGCCAATCAGCGGACCCTTACCCAAAAACCTGTTGCTGCTCTTGAAAAGACTCAGGCGAGGGTTCCGTTCGGAACCAAGGTCAAACATAAGCCAACCGTCGGAGAGGCTCATCCACCGCCGGGACAGGCTGAATCCAGTAGCGCGAAGCCCAACAAACAGGCTCCGCCTGCCCTGAAGCAATCTTTGCTGGTTTTCGGCAGGAAGCAGTAAAGGTCGCCTGGGGTTGTGGTTGACTAGGTCCTGGCCCCCACTTGGCAGTGCACACGACCGCCTTGTCAGTCTGAGCTTCGCAACCCTGCAAGTCCTGGCTCTCGGTCTCGCTGACGGCTTCCTGCACCTGACCTGGGACTTGTTTGCACCCGGCAACCCCACCCTTCTCGCGCCGAGATTGGGGGGGTTGGTTTCGGCCATTTTTCAGCCCTGCAGCGCCAAAAGCAACCCCCCCCTTCTCGCGCCGAGAATGGGGGGGTTGCTTTTGACCATTTTCCAGCCCTGCAGCCGCAACGTTCAGAATAGCATCGTGTTGACCCGCCTGCGCTTGGCTGGAGCTTGCTGGGAGATTCGTCTCGTCAAGAAAGGCTGGAGGAGACCTGGGACGTCGCCTCTCACCGCGGCCGGAAGAAGCTCACGGAAGCACTGGACTACTACAAGCCTTTAGTCCTGGCCGTGAGGCTGACGAGCTCCCCGGCTCACTCGGACCCGGAAGTGAGCAAGGCTGCGCTCAAGGCGCTGGAGAAGCAGCAACGGCGAGGTCACTACTGGACCCTGATAGCTCCCCCGGACCACACGGTGTGGAGTAATCAGAACGTCAGCAGGCTTCTCAGCAGCAGCCATGCACACGTGACCCAGGCCGAAGCGACTCCGGCTGGACTTGCTCACCGCGTCCGCCGAGTTGTGCGCGAGTTGGAGCCTACACGGTTCCGCCGCGAGAAGCAGCGTCCGCTTCGCACCCCTGCCTGCGGCACCTGGGACCGGGTTTCAACAAAGCCCCCGTTCCACGAAACCTACTACCTGGACTACGTCCAGGACGACCGAGAATGGCGTGGTGTGATGGATCAAGTGGAGCAGGTGTTTCGCACAAGCGCCTCCCCTCAGATCACCCTCACACCCGGTCACGAGATCTGGAAGCGGATTTCGGAAATGATCCCCTGGCGGATTGAGCGAGTCCAGCTCGCCAAGGCGCCAAAGGCGCGGCGCTTCCCTCGAGACATCCCCTTCACTCACCGTGCCACCGTCCTGCTCTACAACGACGACGAAGTGGCCTGTGAATCGGATGATGTCGCCAACATCGCCTTCCCTCACCAGCGGTTTCCTAAACCCGTGAGATACGCTATATGCGTCTATGGCGATGCGCCTGAGGATCCAACTGATGTCCCAGCGCCCCCTCAGCCGACAGGGACCCCTCCGGTTGACCCGGACGTTCCGCCTGAGGAAGTGCACGGCGCGGACATTACCTTTCCGAACTGCAAGGCACCGCGGGAGATAAAGCGGGCAGTGGCACGCCTACATGTGAACTTGGGACACCCGTCAAGTGCGGACCTTGTCCGAATGTTGGCACAGAACGGCGCCGTCACGCCCGAGGCTGTCTCCGCGGCAAAAGCACTCACATGTGCCTCATGCCTTCGCATGCGCGGAAACGCTCCCCCGCGACCTTCTCGACTCGTGGACCGCTTCGTCGGACAACTGGGAGACTGTGTCCAAATGGACATCTTCTACTCGCGGACCGTTGACGGCACGAACTACCCACTCCTGGGGATAGTGGACGAGGCGACAAACCTCCAGCAAGTGTGCGTGTTGAAGGACCGCAACCCTAAAACCGTGGTCGAAGCCTTCCGCACGACCTGGGCGCGTCCCTTTGGTTTCCCTCACAAGGTCACCTTAGACCAGGACGGCGCGTTTATGGGTGACTTCTGGACGTACCTCGTCGACAACTCAACGGAGGTGGACTACGTTCCCGCCGAGGCACACCACCGCCTGGGCAAAGCGGAACGGTGCAACGCGGTCTACCGCGAGGTCCTCAACCGAGTTGTAGATAGCATGGCGGCCGCTACGCCGGAGGACTTGGAGATGGCAGTGGACGCAACCACACATGCCATCAATTCCATGCCCCGTTCCCGCGGACTCTCAGCCTATGCTATCGTGTTCGGACGCATTCCCCGCGTCCCGGCGGAGCTTCTGACTGACGACTCGTCACTGGCGGCCAACATTCCGTTGGAAGAGCACAACCGCCACACGATTGTCTACAGAGCTGAGGCTCAGAAGGCAGCGGCGCAGGTCAACGTGGACCAACACGTCGCGCCCTCCTTCGCAAAACCGCGCACATGCGGATAGAGGACATCTCGCCCGGCGCCAAGTGTGCCGTCTGGCGATCCCAACTTCGCGGAAAAGGCCCCCGCAAACGCGGCGGCTATGTCATCGGCAGGTTGGTTACCTTCGATGGACATTGCGCGTGGGTGCAACTGGGCACTCAGACGGTGAAGGTGGACAGGAACCAGCTGAGGCCAGCCTATGGTTTCGAAGCCTGGTCCCCCACCGACGAGGATATAAAGGCCCTCAAGAACGCCGAAGCTAACCTTTTGAGCGGCGAGGTGGAAGACTGGCAGGGTGAAGCGCCGCCAGACGACGAGCCCCTGTTTCCGGAACTGGAGTTTCCACCTGAGCCGAGCGAGGAGCAAGTACAGTCTGCCTTGGACGGCACCGACGGCGCCGACCTGGCGGCCCTGGCAGACACAGCGGCAGCGAGCGCAGCCTCCGCGCCCCCGCTACCTCCTCCGGCTTACTCGCCACCGGCTTCTGAGGTCCCTCTGCAAGACGACTCTGAAATGGCGAGCCAAGGTACCAAACGTACAGTCGAGAGACTTTCTGCGGCACCCTCGACTCCTGCAAAGCGGATATCCAGGTTGAGCAGCCAAGCGACCTTGATCTGCGAGTCCGGAGAGGTGTTCCTAAGGCCACCTGGCTGGGATGGTACCGACTGGGAGCCCGACCATCGGGGAGACCTGGCATCTCTTCCCGAGGCCCGAGGTGTTCGCTTCAGAACACCGAGAGCCACCTATCCAGGGTGCGGAGGACGACGGCGTGGAAGACTGTCATCCGTCCTGGAAAGTGTGCTACGTTGGCGACCAGAAGCAGCTCGCCAATGTCAACAAGATGACTCGCAAAGAGGTGAAAGCCCTTAATCGGGAGATCCCCTGGCGAGAAATCTTGAAGCAGCCGCGTGTGGTTTTCGACAAGTACGTCGAAGCCGCTCGCAAGGAGCACGAGCAATGGGGCACTTGGGCACCAGTCCGACCCCTTAGTGACAAAGAAGCCAACGAGGTCCTCAAGGACCCGCTTCTGAGAACCCGCGTTCTCAAGTCACGCGCGTGCTACCGCGACAAAGCGTGCGGCCAAGGCGCTTTGCAGGCCAAGTGCCGTGTGGTGGTCCTTGGTCACCGTGATCCCGACCTTCACGCGATCAGCAGGGACGCACCAACGCCGACGCGCCTCACAGAACACATCCTCCTCGCGGTGTATATAAGCGGACGAAACCGTTCGTTTTTACGGAACCGCCGAGTGTGGAGACTCTGGAGCGCTGATGCCACCACGGCATTCCTCCAAGGGAGGCAGAATGAAGGAGAGCGACCAAATCGGCTCTTCATGATGTCTCCGAGAGACCCAATACTGGAGAAGGCCGGAGCCTTCCCCGCCACCATCTACGAGGTCACTGGATCCGTTTATGGTTTGGCGAACGCGCCACGCTTGTGGTCTCTCGAGGTAGGCAAGCGACTACTCGCGGCCGGGTTTCGACCTCACGCCCTTGACCGGATGTGCTTCCTGCACTACGACAAGGAAGGCTGTTTGGACTGCATAGCGTTGGTGTACGTGGACGATTTTTTAGTCACTTATGCCGACCACTTTGATTTGACGGTGCTGACGCGCCTCTTCAAGTGGGGCAAGACCTCCTTCGACACCGACGTTATAACCTTCAAAGGGAAGCAGCTCCGGACGGTCAAGGAGAATGGTGTTTTCGTCCTCCGGGTGACGCAATCGGAGTACATCCGTACCCTTGCCCCCGGGAAGGTGACTCGCCAACGAGGCCGTGAAGACCCGAAGCTGACTGAAGCTGAGCTTTCGGAGTTCCGCTCCGTCTGTGGAGCACTCCAATGGCTCGTGGGACAGACGCGTCCTGACGGTGCTGCTACGGTTTCTTTGATGAACCGCGGCAACGACTCCACCCTCAGTGAGCTCAAGCAGCTGTACGCCCTGTCGGAGTACTTCGCTCGTACACACAGCGATGGGCTGGTCTTCCACGGGATCCCCATCAACGAGCACAGCACCATCGTGAGCTACGGTGACTGCTCATGGGCGAATGCCCAGGAGTACAAAAGCCAAGAAGGCCTCCTTGTGTGTCTCACGACACCGGACGCGCTGACGGGCAATGCCCCCGCCGTGCTTCTTGACTGGAAGAGCACCCGCACTCCACGTGTGGTGCGCTCCACTCTGGCTGGTGAGGCATACGCCGCAGATGACTCGATCGATAGGGGCGTCCTGGCAAACCAGATGTTCTCTGAGATCATTTTCGGGTGTGAAGCTAACCCCGTCACCAATCTCAAGACACTGCGTCACTGCCACGCCACTGATTGTAAGTCTCTGTACGACGCCGCCATCGCCGCTAACTTCAATACTGAAGAAAAGCGCGTTGGCCTGACGATCAGGGCTGTTCAGGAAACCATTGCCCCTCAAGACATGCGCTGGGTTCCTACGACCGCCATGTGGGCAGATGGTCTGACTAAAGTCTCTGACAGTCTGCGCGAGACCTTCCGCAACTGGCTCCGACAGCCAACGGTTCAGCTGAGGTCCGACGCCTGAGGACTACTGTGTGGTGCTCTGCGCGCCCCAGTAAGGCCGGTCCTCTCTACCAACCTCCGAAGTCTGTGCGCCTGGACACGTTTTGCACCACGTACCCACTTGCAGCTACGGTTCAACCGGCTGCCTCTCTACTGAGAGAGCCTTGAGCTCCCAGCTCGGCTCACAGGGGAAGCGATAAACAGCTGACCCTTTTCCTCAACGTCCCGACACGCTTTTAGGCCAACAAAAAGTTGGGAGTGTCAAACGGGACCGTTTTGCGTAAGCACTTTGTACAGTGTGCAGCGACACTGCTGCCCTTTTGGCCCAAAACCTGTAGGGCCCTTGAGTCTGGGCAACCGCCTGCCGAAAAGGTGTGTTGCGCCTGTTTTCTGATAGAAATAAGGTTATCCGACACTGGCCGTTGGCCTTGGCCAATTCCGCCTGGAATAAGCGGTGGATCGACACGCTGAGGCATGTATTGCCTGGTCTAGCAGCATCCCATGGTGCCCTGACAGCGTACTTTTGGAGCCAAGCCGTAACCAGGGAGTATCTCACCTGGAGCCAGGCTTTGTAAACCACGTCACACAGGCCAATGGGGCGTTCGATGTCTGCTTTTTTCGCCAACATGGCGAATTTGACAATGCGCCACTGGCCCGGAGCCTTCCCAGTTTGTTCCATATCATTCAAGAAATTGGCCAATGGTTGGAGCGCTGCAGTTGGCAACTGTTTGAGCATGTTGTTATGCCAGCCGTCTGCACCAGGAGCTTTGTTAGGCAGACATTGGAACTTCGTGCGAAGCGCTTCCGGAGAGATGGGCTTAAGCCCTTGAGCCTCTTTGATCGCACGTTGCCTTAGCTCGGGAATGATTCCTTCCCCGGGCGTGGCCTTGCTGTCCCAGATTGCTGACCACTGCTCGTATCTCAAATACGGTCTTAAGGCAGACTCCTTGCCTCTGAACGGCCGCACGAGGACTTGTTCTTGCGACCTAATCGCCTTATATAATGGCCTCATTCCTTTCAGCATCGCGCCTTCGACCCAGGCTTGATAGCTACGGGAGTCTTCAAGGAGGTGTTCTTTCTGCGCTTGGGTAGCAAAACTCCTAAACACCTCCTCTCTTTCCTTTGTCAAGCGAGGGCCTTCAGAGAAGTGGCCGAGAAGCTCAGCCTTCAACTCCTGGGTTGCCACTGGCTCCACATCCCCAAATTCCAGCTGCACCACCACTTTCGAACAAGTGGTGGTTCCAACCTTTACACCAGCTTTGGCAACTGCATTGAGCCACGATTCAATCCGCAACCAAAGGCCAGCCTGGTGCGAGAATGTACGATAGCTCTGACCTGGGGATCTCGCCAACTTCTGGAATGAAATCGAACTGCCCCTGGGGAGATGCTCACCCGGGTACATCGCATCCTGACACCACCTGGTCAAGACGCTAAACTCCCTCGACATGGGGTCTTCTGTGAAATCCTGCCCCACAACCTTGATAGGGATGGGATCTGGCTTTTGGGCTGCCAAACTGGCCTCTGACTCAGCTTCCTTGACTGGGAAGTCAGGGAGCCTCAAGGCCTTATCCTGCTGCCCAGGTATAAGGAACTCGATGCGAAGGCTAGCATGAGGGCGGTGCGGGGCGCTCCAGTCCAAGCCCACAGTCATAAGCCCTGCAATGGCGCTGCTTGTGATAATGAAATCCAGCTCGGAGCCGCCATGAGTGGTGGGAACACCTACCGAATGAATCTGCCCGCCTAGTTCGCAAACCAGTCCCGAGTCAGCGAGTTCCCGGGGGCTGAGATTGAAGTCACCTCCAACCAGCCATTGTCCCGGGTGTTGCTTTAGCACCGCCACCAGCTTTCCCAAAATTTCTGCGTTCGGATGGCACTGCATGGGGGTAGAGTTTTTTAAATAGATACTGAAGAGGAGAAGGCTCACTCCTCGGATTCTGATTTCAACAGCACAGAACCCGCACCCTTCAACGGTGAAGTGATGGACCACACGGCTTTGAAGATGGGTCCTGCTGAGCACTGCTACTCCCCCGTGGGTGCCTCTTTTGGCTGTGGGAGATGCCTCACCACCCACCATCTCGAAACCAACCTTGTGCATGGCAGCCACTGCATCTTGAAGGGCCCCTGGGCGGAGGTGGGTTTCCTGCACAAGTATGATATCGTCCTTTTGGGCTTGCAGCCAATCTTGGGTTTCCTTCCTCCACTGAGTGATGTTGGAACATCGGATACTACACTTGTAGTACCCTTGGCTGCTAAGCGATGCAACGATGTCAGTGACCGCCAGGGTGAGAATCTCATACCCTTCTGTTGCTCCTTCACTGACTTTGTTCAGGAGCTGGTAGGCTGTCCAACCTTCCAGCCCGTCTTCGTTGTTTTTCACACCATCCTGCTCTGCAATGTCAATAAGCAGTGCTTCCTCGGCTTCTGGTATGTTCTTATGACACTCCAGCACCTTAAGCAACTGCTTCCACAACGCCAACCGTTTCTTCACCTGTCTGCGCAGAACCTGCTCTGGAGTGGGCTCCTTGTTCAGGTGTTTGCTCCGAACCCTCTTAGCCTTCTTGGGAGGGCTGGAATCCACAAAACTCGACGGAAAAAACTGCGATCCTGACAAGCGCCCAGGTGGACGCCGGGACCGTGTGACAAAACCTGAGTGGGAAGACCTTCCACTTTCAACATGGCTGGGATTTGGCGGCGCACCTGATGCCGTGCTCTCCTCTGGCTCCTGAGTGGAGGGTCGATACGCCTGTTGGGCCGTACCCTCCGTGCGGAGGCCCTGGTAAGAAGAGAAGCTCGATCTTACCTGCCCGGCATCTTTGGACTTGCGCTTCCTCCTAGCGATTGTTTTCCAGGCCCCATCCTGGTTTAACATATGGCTTGCTGGAGGCTGGTGCGACTCACCCATAGACTCGCTACTCAGCCCCTTGCGCGGCAAAACTGTCCTGGCTTCAGAGGGGTTGCATCTAGTGTGGTAACACGGCCGCCAGGGGGACCGTGCACCTGCACCCGACACCCCTATTCCCTAAGTCTCAGCTGCGGTGCTCTCCCTGTTGGGAGACCGGGATCTTCTGCTGAGCGGCGTGCTGCGGGGTCTTCTTCCTGTACGGTTCGGCCCGTAGTCTTCATTGAGCTCGCCAGCTTCATCGCCAAACCAGTCTGATTCCAGTAGCTCGGCGGGAACCCCTGCCTTTTCCTTCCAGAAGCTGGAAAGGTCCAGTGCTTGGTCCCCTGCTGTGGCAAGGAACTTGGTCAGGGCTCCTGTTTGGTCTTGGGAAAGGGTGACACCTGCTTCCTTAAGAAGGCTTGTGACACCAGGAATCTTCGCAACCCTCGGAGCATTGACCTTTTCCTTTACCAGAGCGTGAGCTTTCTCGATTTCCCGCTCAACTTCCTCGATCTTGCCCGACACCGCCGTGAGCTGGTCCACTGCAGCTTCAAACTGTTTTTTGAGCATCTCCGCCTTTGCCTGAAGCTTGATCTTGCGGGATATCAGCGACCGGTGGGCCCCTGTGACACGCTTATACTCTTGCATACATTTGCTAAGTTGCTTAGCGGGAGATTCCTCACCGAACGTGCTGGGGGGCGGTATGCCAGCCTCACGCAGCAGGCGTTGTGCATTGGGCTCCGCGTTCTCCCAGAGGGAGGCAACTGCATCCTTGAGCGTGTCCCCAGAGAGTGATCCAAGGCCGGGTGGGGACTGAAGCATGTCCCACTCCTGCTCTGCAGAGTCCTGAGAACTGAGGAACTTCTGTGCTGCCTGATACTCAGCTGCTCGCTGGGCCTGCCTCAGCGCCTTCTTGTTAGGCTTTGCAGGCCAGTACCAGGTGTGGTCCCACGTCTGAGCAGGCTGCGACTTAGGCTGCCACTGCCACTTCTTGCCGCAGCACCAGCACCGGGGGTAGTAAGCAAGGTCAGCCTTGTGGACCCACCCTTCGGCACAGTTCTCACACACTATCACCTTGGATTTCATCTTGGGGAGAAGCTCACCCTTGATGTCTGGAAGCACAGACACCTAAAGGGCGGGAGCCTGCCCGGAAGCAAGTTTTGGTCGGAAGCCTGACCAAGAAGCGGCCGAAATGGCAAAGTGGAAAGAAATGGGATTACCTGTTTGAGGCCTCTTTCGAAAGAAAGTTGGACCTGCGCCTTGGCCCCAGTTCTACACAAAGCCAGCTACCGCACAGTCAGAGACTTCGAGCCGAAAACTTGAGCCAAACATGAACTTTAAAAAAAACATGAACTTTCTTCCCGTGCGGACAGCAGATGCCGCGGCCGATGGCCGCCTTTCGTTAACGAACCTAGAAACTGTACAGATCAAACAGCACAACACTCTACACTACGCACATCCGCATCGCAAGCGGGGACTGCACCACTACGGGAGTCCCACCAGCTCTCCCGAAGGAAAGAAGGTGGGACTGTGGCACACAAGAGCGTAAGAGCAGCGCTGGACCATGCACCAAAGCTCAGAGGTGACCAGCATGGGCAGCCAGGGAGCACAGCAAGCCTGGCAGGCTTAGCAAGGCCACCAAAACAGGCAAACAAGCCTGACACAAGTCGAAAGGACCAGACGGCCCAGGGGCTAGCCCCGAGTAAAGCTTGAAGTCGGACCACGGCAGCTGACAGCGCCTGTTCACAGCGAGTTCGCTACCAGCAGCCCTGATTTTTTAGGTGGCCCCTTACACGGTACTGTAAGAATTTTCACAGCCTCTTCCGAAACAGGCCTCTGAAGTTTCTCACACTTAGTGCACATCCAGTACACCCCCATGTTCAGCATACTATGACTGGGATGATTGTTCCACTCCGAAGGTAGGGCACTAGCCTGATCCTTGCAAGGGTGCTGCATGAGCTTGTCAAAACGCGCCTGGAGCAAAATCTGCTGAACGTACAGACCGCAAATCTCGCACCTCATGGTAAGGTTTGAAGAACCCTCGGAGCCCAAGACCCACTTATGTCCCAAAGTATCCCCAGTGCCCTCAATGCATGCCTTCATTCGTTGGCGCTTGTTGAGGGTGGCCGTTTTGGGCTTCT